ATAAAGCTCTATAATTATATTGCATGACAATATAAGGACTTTTTGTTATACCTTTATAAAAGCATGAAAAAACGATGTCAAACAAAGTTTTTTTTTTTTTTATTGAAATAAACAAGGAGGTATAATAGACTAGCTGGAGGGAGAACAAGCCGAAAATCGTTTAAAATTGTGGTGCAGTCTTATTAGATTAATTATTCCAGCCTTCGCGTTGAAAGAGGAAAATTTTGAAATGTAGTTTGTAACCTTTGAAAGGTTGAAAGCTGTAATCAAAGTGGACTACACTCTTAAAAGTTTACTGGATAAGTTTTTAACAAATGTTCGAACTGTCAAGAAGTAAATCACAAAAAAAATCACGATTTAGATGAAGTAATCTTTTTTTAAAAAACCTCGATACTAGGTATAAAAATCAAAGTTTTAGACAATTTCTACTACCTATTTTAGTTTTATTTTTTGCAAGAACGTTTTTTTGGCAAGGAACTTTTTATATTTTTCCAGGATTTTATTTTGTGTCGTAGTATTTTTGCTGGATTTAAAAACAAATTGATATATTTTAAATATAGAGATATAAAATATCTTTTTGTAAATCTTGCAAAAATACTACCAATTCTTATCTAGACATTATTATTTGTTCAAAAAGCACAACATAAAAAAGTACCAATTAGCTAGCTCTTAGTTTTGCTTCAGAAATTTTCTAAACTTCCATCTTTTATTTGCAATGCTTTGATTGCTCATGACGGTTTGAAACAATTTGATAATTTTTCAAAAAAGTAGAATGTGATCGATTAACATTAATTTATGATATTTACGCGGTATTTAATTAAAAAATTTGTTATTACTAACACTGTTTCTTAAAATATGACTACTTTTAAATCGTTCTCACTCCAGCTATATTATAACTCTTTGATATAATCTGGTCAATATTAAAAAAATTTGATACGCAATTCAGCAGCCGTGGTGCAGTGGTAGCGCACTGCCTTCAGAAACGTAAGATCCATGGTTCAAACCCACCTTTGGGCAAGTTTTTGCAACATCGGTTGGGAAGGAGACGTAAACTTCCTATTAAATGCTCTTCCGCGGTGCTTAGTGATAAAACCGTAAGGATTTCTTAAAGCACCTTGGGAAAAAAAAATTAAAATAATAATAAATTGAAAAAATAGTTATTGTGATTGTACAAACCTTTATTATAAGCATGTTGTATTGGTGACGACATGGATGAGGCGTGTGATGCAGCTTCATAATCCCGATGAAACTGCAGCCCTTAAACTCTTTTTTATTTTTTAAATCCTCAAAATTTTTATTTAAACGTTTAGGTAGTTTTAAACGTTTTTTTAAACGTTAATTTAAACGTTTAGATAGTTTGTTGTGTTTTCCCAAAAATCGTGCAACTTCTTTTTGTATTTAACTAAACAGTTCCATATGCACCATTTTCCTATGTCTGATTATTCAAACTCCCTCATTTTGATGTGTCTGATTTCTGCATGGGGGAAATTTCATGCAAAGATGCATAAAAATTACGTTAAAATGAGCCTTAAAAGCACGCTAAACTGAAGTACAAGACGAAACAAAACAGAACAATCAATACTTTATATAGATTACATAGACTATTTTCTAAATGTAACATTTAATCTAATCTAATTAAATAGAAGATATACACATTAAAACAATTTTCTGTTTCTAATAACAAATGATAAAAATATTAAATAGAGAATCCAATTTCATTTATTTGTATTCAAGCATAAAAAAAATTATTTTAATATTATTTAAATAGTAGAATTACTATATTATTTAAATAGTATTTAGATATTATTTAAATAGTAAAATCTATTAAGGTGAATAACCACAAAAAAAAACAAATTTCAGAACAGTAACAAACTTTAAAACCGCCATTCGTTTCAAATAAGTACATATATTTCTTGCAACGTAAATATTGCTAAATATGTAGATCTTTCATAAAAAAACAGAAAATTGTCTAAATTACGTTAAAATGAAGCATTTAATAGTACACTTGCAACATTTAATACGTACACTTGCAACACAATTTTTTAAGTAATAGTAACGTTTAAGCTTTGAAACTTAACAATTGTCTGTCATCGCATGGAATAAAAGGAATGAATTAATATCTCTGGATACAAAAAATAATTACCCTTTTTGTCTAACATTTTTTACTTTTTTCAATATTTTTAGGGGGTAGAGCTGTATTAAAAGACTAAAAAGACAAAAAATAAATGTAATTTTCAAAAGTTTTTACATTCATTCTCTTCATTAGGTATTTTAAAAAACTTCTGAAAATTTGATGTAAACTGCTTGACTTAATATTAAGATATCATATTGCAAGTCCAACTAAGTATCGTTAAAATGCAATTCTTAGAAAATAAGAAAAATAAAATACCAAAGCATAAGAAACTTAAAATTTACCAGATAAATCAGCTTTTTGAAGTTGCTTTTATATTATCAACCCAACCTTTTTTTTAATGCTTTTAACTTTTTTTTTTTTTTTTATATACTTTGAAATCTTTTTTAAGCATGTTTTTTAAAAGCTTTATATCTTTTTGATAAAATGCCAATGAATTTTTCAAGTCAAATTTTAAATTAAGAAACTTAAAAACTTTGTTAAGACCGTATGTATTATAATTGAAGTTAAAGTATAGCAGAATTAACATCCACTTCAAGCAAAAATCTTGTAACAAATTACTTTTTGGACTTCGAGACCATATTGTGTTAGGGCCTTCATTTAAATTTTGTGTCTCTCCATGAATACATTTTTTAAGAAGTAAATCATCAGAAAAGTTATCAAAATCTTTCTTTATAACATCATAAATCCACATAGGAATATTTACTTTAGGCTTGTAATTATCAACTCCTTCTTCATAATTATTCCACCTTCACTAACTATTTAATCCTCTAGGACATTGCATATGATGCCGCAATTTATAATAAAAATAATATAAAATAGACTTGTATAATATTTTAATGACTTTAAGTAGTTTAGTTTTTTAAGAAGAAAAACAGGTAAAAAAAAAAGAAAAGAATAAATGAATGAACTAGGTTAAACATTACGTTATCAAAGTAAGAAGAAAAAAAAGAAAAAAGTTAAGGCTTAAGCCTGGATTTGCAAATATATGTATGTATGCTACTTTTTGAGGTGAACGATCTCTTGGCAGTGGTTTGGCGGTTTTGTCAGCAAAAATGTAAATGCACCAATGTAATCTGGATTCAGCAATACCATGGCTCTTTAGTTTCTTCCTTTCGTATGGCTCTTTAGTTTCAACTTTTTGGCATGTGTATTTGGGTATACACCAATACAAATATATTTTTATTATGTTTGGAAAATAAGATAATCGTATTCGACAAAAAAGATTCCAATGCTTATATCCGACAAATTAAATTGTGTGTGCGCAACACAATATATTCATTTTGAAAATTATGGACATTTTTATCCGCCCGCTATTTTTAAACTATTTTAGTCATATTTATTTAGAAATTTATAGAGGTTATTGTTTGCTTATTTCACTAGTTATTTATTGTTCACATATTTCATCGGTTATTGTTCGATTTTTTTTATCGGTTATTGTTCCCATATTTCATCGGTTTTTATTTACATATCTCATCGGTTATTGTTCACATATTTTATCGATGATTGTTTGCATATTTCATCGGTTATTGTTCACATATTTCATCGGTTGTTTGCATATTTCGCATAGAAGACTAAGTAGTTTGATGGATGTAAGCAGTACATAACATATCACACCGGTTCTCTGTGACAAGTCCTGATTATCTTCTTGTTGTATCCACGTTCTTTATACTTTATTTTTTATTCTTTATATTTTAGCAATATTCTTGTAATTTTTCTTCTTTTATTTATTTTTATCTTTTTCTTATATATTCTAATAAAAAAAATTGAAAAATAAAATAATCATATTGATAAAATTTTATATTATTTTTATGAATAAAAGCAATTTAGTCCGCAACGCTACAGCTAATATATACACTCAAATATGCGTGTGTGTGTGTGAGTGTGTCTGTGCGCGCGTTATAGTTAAGTAAAGTAGAAATACGTTATACCAAAAATATATAAAATTAAAATATGGTTTTTTAAGTTAAAAAACTAATTAAATATAATTTTTGAGAAATAAATTTTTATTATGTAACACTTAAACAAAACGTTTATATTATAAAATGAAATATAGACCTTGTTTCCCGATTTACAAAAAGCAATTGAAAACTGCTCGTTAAATCGTGGTTACAAAGTTATATATTTTATATAAGTTATACAAAGTTATATATTTTATATAAGTTATACAAAGTTATATATTTTATATAAGTTATACAAAGTTATATATTTTATATAAGTTATACAAAGTTATATATTTTATATAAGTTATACAAAGTTATATATTTTATATAAGTTATACAAAGTTATATATTTTATATAAGTTATACAAAGTTATATATTTTATATAAGTTATACAAAGTTATATATTTTATATAAGTTATACAAAGTTATATATTTTATATAAGTTATACAAAGTTATATATTTTATATAAGTTATACAAAGTTATATATTTTATTTAAGTTATACAAAGTTATATATTTTATATAAGTTATACAAAGTTATATATTTTATATAAGTTATACAAAGTTATATATTTTATATAAGTTATACAAAGTTATATATTTTATATAAGTTATACAAAGTTATATATTTTATATAAGTTATACAAAGTTATATATTTTATATAAGTTATACAAAGTTATATATTTTATATAAGTTATACAAAGTTTTTAATATTTGACTTTACATAAATAATGTATTTATGTAAAGTCAAATATTGCGCATTTAACACAAATTAAAGTATTATACATATATATTGAGCAATTTATAATTGAATTTTATAATACATTTAAAAACTTAACTCACAATAAACAATTAGCAAGAAAATCATTTTTAAAACTTTAAGTTTCATACGATCATTTCACTTGAACATGTTTATTTTTTGTTTGTTTGTGCATAAATGTGTCGAAAACGTGAAAGATGAAAAAAGTTGTTGGCTATGCTATTTTATTTACTAGTTTTTTTTTATTGATATAAACAAGGAGATATATAAGACAAGCTGGAAAAGGAGTAAGAAGCCGAGAATCGTATATATATATATATTTATCAACTTAACCCACAATAATTAGCAAGAGAATATATTTTAAAACGGTAAGTTTCATACGATCATTTCACTTGAACATGTTAATTTTTTGTTTGTTTGTGCATAAATGTGTCGAAAACGTAAAAGATGAAAAAAATTGTTAGCAGTGCCATTTTATTTAATTAAAGAAAATATTAACATTAATAATAGAGCTATGGTAATTTTAAACATAATTTTTACATGGCAACTTATCTTTATTGCTAAGAGTATACACTGTGGTCCACCATGTTATAATCACGAATGTGAAAAACGTCCTCTTGAAGAACCATCTTTTTTTTCGACAATGAACCCTTTAAATCAAAGAGTGATGAAAAAAAACTGCAGAAGAAATTGCTTAAGTAGAAAAAATTGTATGGCTTTTGTTTACACATACGACGTATTGCCATCCGTCATTGAAAGAAAGGGTAACTGTTTGTTATATGATTTTAAACCAAAAACCTGGATAGACGATAAAGCATGGCATGGTAGAGTTTGTTTTGCTGACTGGAATGACAGTTGTTTTAAAAATTTACATAAAGCTCTATAATTATTTTGCATGGCATTAAGAGGATTTTTTTAAATATGTATATATAAGCATTGAAAAATGACGTGAAACAAAGTTTTTTTAATTGATATAATCTGCTCCCTATTAAAAAAAAATGTAATGAGTAATTTAAAAGTAGTTATTGTGATTGCACAAATCTTTTTTATAAGCATATTACATGGACAACGCCATGGATAGAACTATAAAGCTGCAGCCCTTTCACTCTTTTTTTATTTTTGACTAATGAAAAAACCTATAGCTTCATGTAAACAATTAGATAAAGTACAAAACCAAAAATTGGATATAAAGCGAACACGTCAAAAATGTTTTGAAATACTGTCGTGTTTTAATGTTACTGTCGTATTAAAATGTTACTGTCGTGTTAAATGTTACTGTCGTCTTGAAATATTACTATCGTGTTAGAATTTTACTGTCGTATTAAAATGTTACCTTCGTGTTAAAATGATATTGTCGTATTAAAATGTTACTGTCGCGTTAAAAAATTACTGTCATTTTAAAAAGTTATTGTCGCGTTAAAAAGAATTTAGAGCCCGACGGTTGCGATTTAGAAATTAGAACTCAATACCTTTCATTAAAAGTTGACATGCGATGTTCAGCCAGTCAAAAACAAAAATAAAATTTTTTCAAAAGCACAATTAAGTATTTCAATATATTCATTAAATAATCTAAAGTATACTTTTGTCAGTATTGTTACAATTGAATGTTTGTTAACAACGGAGCCTTACTTTAAACAATCACTTCACTTAAATCTTTATTTGACAACCAATGGTTACAAATTACATAAGTTTCATCGGTTTAGTTACCATTTTACATGATTTTACTTTTTAATCTGATACAAAAGTCTGACTTTGAAGATTTTTACTTTGATTATTTAAGCCTTTTTTTAAAACCCTATTTTGTATTATTTTAGAAACATGGTGTAGTTTGTGAAGTTTTCAGTATGTTTTTAACTTTTACAACTTTACTTTACTCTTTTCCAAATAAAAAAGTTTACTTGATGATCAATTCTAGCTCTCGTACTTTAAAAAGCGCTGACCATGGTTAGTGGGTGACCATGGTTAGTGGGCATAATATTATTATGACGTAAACAAATACTGTTGAAACTTGCTTTTATTAAAATGGAAATTTAAATTAAGTAAATATTTTAAAAAAATAATACGATATTTTTTATTCTTGACATGTTTTGTAACATAATTATTACATTTTCAAAAGATCTAGTTTTACAATAAAAATAAGTTGGAAGTTATTAAAGGAATAAAAATGTCAATGAACCCATGAAAACCTTTTTTTCTGCAATTTTTTGAAATTTCGAAACAAATGAAAATGACGGAAAACTCGAGTTTCAGTTTTTTATTTATATAACTTGTTCTAATATACTTTTAAAATCATTAATATTATATATAATTTTAAGAGACGCACTTTTGCTATTATGTACTATTTTAAAGTTTGTTAAAATATTTATTGTTAATTTTGAAGAATGATTTATTATTCGATAAGTACAACAAAGTATGTTTAAAAAAGCTTAACTCAACAACTTTAAAATTCCCTTCCATTTAAAAAGTAACTTAGTAATTTACTTAAATATCAACATAATACTAGCTTTCTAGACCTGCAAAATACTCAATATTTGGAATAGACTTAGTAAGTCTATTCCACACCGACCGTTTCTATACTTATTTGTTATGAAGTAAGTATATTTTAGAGAAAGCGGTAGAAAAATATATAAATGTATATAATTTTTGTTATTCCATCCTTTAAATAAAACAAAAAGATTTCCTATTTCTTTTTTAAAACTAATTATTAAAAACACAGAAATTAGTCGCGAAAGAGTAACAAAATTTCTTGGTATTCTCATCGACGAAAATATTACCTGGAATAAACATATTACCTATATATGGCAATAAAATATTAAAACGTATTGGAAATCTATACCAATCAAGGGATCTACTAAATAAACATCCTCTAAAAATATATATATTTCAGTTTTATACAAAATTATTTAATTATGCAAATATCTCATAGAGTAGTTTTTCTAAAGGCAAACTAGTGTTTCTCTATAAAAAAAATAGAAACATACTTAAAAAATAATCTATAGGACCTTTTTTTTCTTATATAAAGGAAACTCTAGATACAGAGGTCTTTTTTTAAAAACTAATTTTGAAAAAGTGACCCTATACTTCGAGACCCGTGTCGTCTGCCTTGCTAACTAACAATGTTCTTCATTTTTCTCAATGAAACAAAAACTTTTTAATTATATTAATATTTATTTAATTATTTTTATTTCGTGATTATATTTCATTTCATGACCTTTTGCTGAAACTTCTTGGCAAAATTTCATAAATTAAATTTTTTTTATTTACTTTTTAAATTCCATTAAATAACTTGTATATTTGAATCACCTGAATCCGTCACGACAGTATTTCAAGGCACCTGAATCTGTCTTAAAACTAAATTAATGGGACCCATTTTGTCTACTCTTTTCTCATAGCATAGTTTTTTTGATGGCGATATTATTCTTGTAGCACAATGCTGTACCATTTCTAAGAGATTAATTTCATTTTTTTTTTTACAACAATTTATTTAACTTGCTTTCTTGTCGTTTTTTTTTTTTTAGTGTCCGCGCACAACAAACACGAGGTCAGCGGTAATAATAAAAGAAATCGTTAAAAAAAGTAATTAAAACCAACTACGCGCAACAAACTTTAGTTTACTTTGTGTATATACACAACCTGAAATATTCATTAATGTCAACGACTGAAAGTATTAGGCAATTAAGTACAACTCGCTCCTATTGGCCTAATTGGCGCAATTCGTTCCGTGTCAAACGCGTACAAATGAGGGCAGCATTAAATACATTAATAATATATAACAGATATTACAGGAAACCGAATATGGTAATTGTTAAAGTAATAATAACATAAAATGTTAAACAGTGTTAAGTCAAAAAATGTATATATTGTTGTGAATTACGACTTCCAAGATATTAACAACAATTAGCGGTTGTATTATTAACATTAATTAATAATATTGTAATATTAACATTAATGTATTTGTAACGAAGGGGTCTTCGTGAAGGTATTCGAAAATTACTCCAACGTAATTACATGTATTTAAGGTTATTAATATAATATTTTGTCGTACTGAATTTTATATAAAAAGGATGATTATGAAATAATATATTCGCAGTCATATGTTAATAAAACAACTATAAACAAACCTATTGCACCTCCTAACATCGAGTGCAATCCTATCCGCTTTCTCTATGCTATCTTTCTAACACGACTACTTCTGTTTTTCACTCTAAAATAGAGTGAAAAACAGAAGTAGAGTTTAGGAAGAATCTTCGTTCTTCCTAAACTCACTTTACTATTGGTCCGTAGAACGGGTTATGACGCTTCCTTGGGGAGTCGAACCTGTCTTTGCGGGCCTTGGTAATGTGGCCTCTATATAGCAATTAGCCGGAGAAGGATAAACCACAATACCAAATAACTATAAACAAACGTTTAGTAATTGTGATGAAAAAGTGAATTCATTAGTGTCACTGGGAAACGTTTAATAATTCCCCACACCAAAAGGTGGCAACATCTGCCAAAACCAAGGAAACCTACGAATAATCAAAATGGATCAAGAGCGAAACTATCAGAGGGAGATCAACATGTTGAATATAAACATTAAATGCATAGAACGCAACACGACAAGCAGCGACAAATCGAGCATAATCTTGGCTTTAGATAAAATAGCAAATTTGTTAACAAGATTTGAAATGGAAAAAGATGAGCTGACCAGAAAAATGCTGGATGACGGCGAAAGCATAGATATTGTTGAAGAATGGCTATCGAAACCAATAGCGGAAGTTGAAGCAGCGGTTGCAATTAAAAACGAAATAATAAACAAATTGAATATAATTAACAAATTAAATATAATTAACAAAATAGAAAAACACAATGCGAACCTCTCTTACGTCAGCTTGGAGCTTTAAATATTTATAAGCTTAATATTCATCAGGTAATGATATTTATGTTTAAAGCAAAACTTGGGTTTTCTCCAGTAACATTTCAATCCTACTTTAATGAAATCTTCCATAAATATCCAACCAAATTTTCAGTGAATAACTTTGTGGTTCCCATAAACTTTCTTAAATTAAGTTCGTACCAAATTCAATATCGGGGACCTTTAGTTTGGAAAGAATTTCTTCCAATCTTTAGTAAAAAACAAAACTTCGTTTTAAACTGCACTTTGCAAAGTTTTAAGGATGATTCAAAATGGCATTTACTGAACATGGAATTCGATATATTAGATTTCAAATACCTTTTTTGAAAACAATTTAAAGGTTTAAACTAAATCACTTAAAAATAAATTAAATCTTTAACACTTTCTTTGGCTTTTATTAAAATCTATACCAATTCCATTACCGTCTCTAAAAATAGAAAATAAATTTATCGAAAGAACCAAAGCAACAATAATTTATTTAGAATTAACATTAATAATATTCATTCAAAATCATACAAATATATAATTTATCATATGCTTGCAATTAAATAATTATTCACTTTAAGAAGTAAAATTTTATGTTTTTTTTATAATTTTGTCTAAACTGATATTGACATGTTTCAACGGATGATGACGTCTAAACTAATTGATTAACTACCATTAAGCGCTTTTTTTTTTCAATATATCTAACCGCTAATGTGTAATCAATTACATCGTTATGGAATCAAAGAGCCATTAACCTGAGTAATTATCGATTAGATTGTGAACTACTTAAAAAATTTTCTACATTTTCAGATTGTTCATCACCTTTCAGACCGTACCAATAAATTTTGTGTGGATCATTTTTGAAAAATGAGGCAGTTTAGAACACCAAATAAATATTGGTTCTTGATTTATGAAACAAAACTCTTTTATAACTTTGCAACTAGATGTCCAGTTACTTTATGAAAAACATACAGCCATAAAGCCGAAGGGAAACAAATAACAAAGTTGTATTAGAGTAAGGGTGAGTTGAGTAAGTTTCGAAACTATTGGATAGGCGCGTAATGTAAAAGCAAATAACTTAGTGAAAGAAATGGTAGTAGTTAATCATGTCAATTCCCAGCAGTAAAAGAAATACATGCCCGATTAAACTCACTTTTATAGAGCTACATAAAGTTTATAAAATAAAAAAAGAAACAGAATCAATACTTATATATTAGTTGTACCCTCTTTCAAGGTCACTTATCTTAGAGACTAGACTGTTTAAACATTTATTAAATTTTGACTCTAAAATAATTATTTTATTACAATAACAATATATTGTTATTGTATTATAAAGACAATTTACAATACAATATTTATTGTTATTGTAGTGGGTCATTACAATACATTTTTTTTTCAGATATTGTTACTGTTTAATAAAGATGAATTGCAATACAATATTTATTGTTATTGTATTACAGTATTACAACAGTTGTAAATCACAAGTATTGTTATTGTTTCTAAATTAAGTTAATACAATAACAATAGTTATTGTTACTGTTATTGTTTTCATTACAATTACAATAGTCCTAACCCTATACATATATATATATATATATATATATATATATATATATATATATATATATATATATATATATATATATATATATATATATATATATATATATATATATATATATATATATATATATATATATATATATATATATATATATATATATATATATATATATATATATATATATATATATATACTTTTTGGTATCTCCAGTTTCCTGTATAAAAAACAGATAAACTTTAGTTGGAAAGTAACTGAAAAGTCATTAGTTTTATTTAATTTTTGAAAAAAGTCACCCATCATGACCCTTGATTACACACTGGCTTCCACATATCAGTGAATTTTTTTCTCTTCAAAAGTATATCAACCTGGGTGTCTAAAGAACCAGAATTTTATAGTGTTTTAAAAATTCATAACTGTGATTTAAATTTAAAAGTTCAAATTAGTAATACGAATTGACAAAATAAATTTGCATAACTTTTACATAACCAATAGACGTCTTCACAGTTATCACCGATAATTTCACCGAAAATTTCATGCGCGCGCATATTTAACATTACGTCATGGTATTTTATGCGCAGAATCGCATGAAAACAAGTAAATACTCATATAAATTAAGATAGTAACCTTAAAAGAAACAGTTGTTTACATGAGATTTTTTTAATTTTTTTTTAAAAAAGACATTGATTTAGTTTAATATAAGTTTATTTTACTCATTTTAAGTTTAAAATCTATACTGTTTATATGTTTTTGTCATATAATATTTGTAATCAAGGAAAAAACAAATTTGTACGTTGAGTGTAAAAGTATCTAGTATTGATTAATAAAAATGAGCTTTCGGGAAAGAAGATTATTAAATAGTAATTTATATATATATATATATATATATATATATATATATATATATATATATATATATATATATATATATATATATATATATATATATATACAGGGCCGTCCCGAAGGGGGTGGGGGTGTCGAAGGTGTTCCCCCCCAAAAAAAAAAAAGCTGTCATATAAGCATTTGAGTTGGCACATTAAGCAAGTTTTGCTCCATGTGAAATGCTTTTTTAGTTGATATAATAAATATAGTTGGCAAAATGCCAACTGAAATGCTTTTTGAGTTGGCATTTTGCTAACTATATTTATTAATATAATTGAGATTTTGCCAACGATATTTTATTAAAGTTATAGTTGGCAAATTTAAATATAAATATAGTTTGCTATATTTATAGTTGGCAAATTGCAAGTATTGAGGACCTTTTTTTTTCTTTTTTTTTTTTTGTGTGTGTGTTCTTAGTAGGCAAAAAAATACTTACACCCCCCCCCCCCCCCATGGAAGACCTCTTCGGGACGGCCCTGTGTATATATATATATATATATATATATATATATATATATATATATATATATATATATATATATATATATATATATATATACATATATATATATATATATATATATATATATATATATATATATATGTATATATATGTATATATATATATACACACACACAAACACAACTATCAATGCACATTTCACACTCGAAATGTGTGAAATGCAAAAGATAAAGAGTATTCTTTAAGAGCTTTTATTTCTTTCATATATATCCTATAAAACAAACATATAAAAAGTATAAATATATAAATAATATAAATTTAGCCTTAAAATAGTTAAAATAAAGTTAATAATTCAAAATCGATACTTTTATTATGAATAAAAGTAAAGATATCTCATGTAAACAACTGTTTCTTTCAAGAATGCTTTCATTATATATTTGTGTATTTACTTTCTTTCATGCGATTCTGCGCACAAGGAACAATGACATACCGTTTTGAACTAAAGATTGTTTAAGACAGACAAAATTTTGTTACTAATAGAGTTGTAAATGACTGGAATGCACTGTAACGTAAATCAATTTAAGAACCACATTGACAAATACTTAAATTTTAACCTCATATCTTAGATCTAGTATATTGTTTTTAATCCTTAATAAATTTTTTAGCTGTTATAGACTGAAATTCTACGTTTTAGTTTCAACTCGTATGAGTTACAGCGTCATTTCTATAACTGCTTGCTGGAACTTGTGATTTGATTTATTTGAACTTGCTTTGATGTTAAGATATTTAACCATTTTTATAAAAAAGCCAATTGGAAAAAATTAAAGCATAGCTTAAAGAATCAAAAGGTGTAAACAAATTTTAGAACATAGGAATCGAGACGATTTTATTTCCAGCTCCTAAACAACATGTCGTATTTTTAAGTAAGTTTTAAAAATTCGAATTTAAAAATCTTTTATTTTTCATTTTCCACGATTTTCCATGGCTATAATGACGGTAAATGTTCTTAAACCTAGAAGCGGTTTCTCCTAACTTTCCTTACTTAAGTCTTAAGTTTTTTCTTAATACAAAAAATGTATTTTTAAAATTTATAAATTTTATAAATAATATATAAAAAATATTACTAATTAGAAAATTTTGACATTACGCTGCGATGTTTGCAAGTAAAAACGGAATTTTAAACAATTAGTATATATCGATTGTGGGTTTGGGTAATACCTATGTTTCATTTATAACAATAAGAAAATATAACCCGTAATTCCAATATTATATACACATATATATGAATATTGTAATAAAATAGAATTATAGTATTGACAAAATTACAAGTCTTTCAATAATAAACCGACATGCTACGATCTAATACAGAGACAACAGTACTGGCATTAATATTATCGATTATTTAAGATCGTTTTGATGATAACAAGTGTTTGATTTTTGTATTTAAACATTCATTCTTTGAAGAATCAACGAGACCGTGAACGAGACCTTTTTGGGCTAAATGAAAAGCAATTTATTTATAATTAAACAAAATAATATTATTCATACCAAAAAAATAAATCATTAATAATAAACACCGTGTTTTATTTACATACCTGCTTCTAGATCGCGAGCGACTTCGTTCCCCAGATTTTACGGGTTCAGGAGATCTAGAACGCGATTTTGATTTACTTCGGGATTTACTTCGAGATTTTTCTCTCTTACTTCGCGATCTGTGTAATCAAAAACTTGTTATTCAAGATACAAAAAAAGATTATAGATGAAAATAAATTCACGTAAGATGCAATTTAAAATAAATACCTTGAACGACTCCTTGATCGTGACACACTTCTAGATTTTTGCCTACTTCGAGATCGAGAACGAGATCGAGATGCCGAACCTCTATCCTAAACAATAAAAAGCAACAAAACGCATTAAGAAATATATAGCATCAAAGATAAGATATGAGATCATCGTATCAAAAAAAAAAACAAAAAAAAAACCCAGAAAAAACCATACAATAAAATAACATATAGACACCGTATAGAAGATAAAAATAGTTTAACATTAAATTACATCAAGAACTCTGATTTTTTTCCCATTTAATTCTGTATTGTCAATCTTTCGAATAAGATTTTTCATATCTTCGTATGTTGATGTACAAATACATCTAAAAAATAAATTATAAAATTCATGTTAAGTTATTATAAGTAAAGATTTGAAGTTTTCTTAACTAAAAAATATATTTTTTTTGATTTGAATGTTTTCTTAATTAAAAAATATTTAAAGGTAAAGAAAAAAGGTATACTAAGTACTTAAAATTAATACAAGATTTAAAAGTACTCACGCCACCCCTCTTTCTTTTCGATGAGCATCTGCATAAGTTACTTCAGCATGAGGCCGACAATAATCTTTTAAGTCCTTTTAACACAATTCACATAAAAATAAAAAACATTGAAAAAAAAAAATTGAATTCATTGTAAACTAATATTTATATCGTCATGCACGTTTTCACTTATATTCACAATTTAAGTTTTTCAACGTAATTAAATGTATATTTTTAATATACATTTAATAAAATTTTAGTTAAAAAAATTATCAACACAAATAACTTGTTTATTTGTGCTGATATTATTTACTATCAATACTTTTTGTTTCATGCTATTTTTTTTAAAAGCGTGAAAAATTTGAAAGTTTTTACAAAAACAAAAAATTGCTAAATTCCTGTCAAAACATGCACTTCGATATGATAGACCGTTTAACGAACCTTCTTATTACAAAATTCCTTAAGCTTATAAAAAGTTTTAACACAATTATCTTATGCTCTCACCACAACTTAACGTCAATAGAAAATTTTAAACAAACTGTATATTGTCTTCAAGTCACTAAACCCAATCATTGTACATCAATTGGAATACTGACGTCAGTAAAATGTGTTGAACAAACATCAATAGTCATCACTGGTTTTAAAAAATATATAACTCTCAATGAACATGTTTTAGAAGAAGACGCTAACACTTCATTCTATGCTCAACATCATTGAAATAATAATTTGAATTCAGTGTTTTGGAATGTTCATCTGAAAGTCAACATCAAGTGTCGAACATCTCATTGAAGTTGAGTGACATCAATGAAACCATCAATGCATCTAATGTTAACTGAAATTATTAAGAAGCTTTTAACAAAAGATTTACTAATCTTTCTTAATTATGTCTAACAATACAATAATATTAGTGCTCATAACAACCTTTTGCATCTGGCAACATAATGACTAAGAACCTGTAAATAATAATCCCTTACACTTTAAATATGTTGTAAAGATAGTAAATAAATTCACCTGCCAACTGACTCTTGATGACAGATTTTCAACGCGTAACATCCATTTTGTTCGAACAGGAGGTCCATACCTGAAAAAAATTATAAAATAGTTAAGTATTGCTTTGTGAAATTTGGCAATACTTTATATCTATATTGTTTTCCACACTTTGATAGTACTTTGATTTCTTGGTTCTCAGTTTAGGTGTTAAATATCTTGAACAATGCTTAAAAACAGTTTGATTAATAATAATTTCACATTACTTGCAAAATTATGTCTTTTGAAATATATATGTATACATATACCTTGTATTTGGATAAATTTTGTGTATACATATTCATATTCAATATTTATAAAGATATAAGGCCATCATGTTGTTACTAAAATAACATCTTGTTATCATCCAATTAGTTTTGTTGCCCCTTGCCATACACTTTATAGGATAAAAGACAGCGCAATAAATAGCCTACGCCAATGCTGCATATTAAACCTTAGCGCTTCGCTCTCCTACGTAAAAACCAGGGCAATGGTCACAAAAAATGGTGTAGCAAAGCCTAATGTTTTTTTTAATTCAAAATTATTTAACAGTATATCCATGTGACAAAGAACTTAAGTAAAATATTGTATATTTTGATTGATGAATTCTTTTTCTAGATTATTCTTTCAATACTAGAAAGTTTATTAATTTTGACTCAAACACATTACTGCACATGACCAAAGTGCACAAAGCATGACTTTTGCAAGCAGAAATATAACTATTAAATTAACTATTTAGAAAATAGTCATTGAAAAAACAGCAATTATAATGAATCCCTCTTGCAAATGATAAATTTTTAATCTCTAAATATTTAAATCTGAATACTATTATTTTTTATTTTTTTACTATTTATCACATCTATTCAAATTTGTCTACAAACTTATCTGTAACTTGTTTAAACTAGGCCTTAATATCCGCCCCTCAGACCATTTTTGAGACCTGCTATATGAGGGCAACCAACCATTGTTCATTTTTACTGAAAAATTGAACAATGGTTTGTTGTCCTCATCTAGCAGATCTCAAAAATGGTCTGAGGGGTGGCGATGTCCGGCACTTATTTCGACCCCTGCCCATTATTTGTATGATGAGAGTGTTTAAATTAAAAAAATCAATCTTACTTATCACGAGCTCTTTGTTTTCGGCCAAATCCACTTCTGTCATCTTTAAATCGTTCTCTTCCATAGGGTGCACCGCCAGATCCACGCTCAATGCCTTTTGCATGTTCAATAATCACTCTTTTTAAAAAAAAAAAGAAAAAAAGAAAATAAACCAAAACCAAGCAATAAGGTGAAACAAAAGCATTAAATGCAAAAATGAATGTAACTAGGAATATATATAAACAACAAAAATAAACAAGAACAATTTTGAAATTTTTAATAATTATGTAAAAATTAAATAAACTGACCTGTCTCCCATTAACTCCTTTCCATTAAGATCATAGACAGCATCATCAGCATCGCGATAGTCATCAAAATCCTTGAGATAAAAGTAAAATTCTAAATTTTGAAACTTAGTAGTCTAACAGTATATTGAGCATACTTTATGAAAAAATTAGTTATTAATTAAACTTTAATCCCTTAATTTTTTTTAATATAATTTTCCGAATTTAATAACTATTTTTAGTATAGCCACGATAAAATTGACTCAACTTTGAACACTTTAAATTACAGAATAAAAAATATGAGTCTTTTTAAACATAAACAAAGCTCATTAGTTCTATTTCACAAAAAATACAAACTAAAGTTTTCCTAAAAGAATATTATGGAAAATATTGTCATAAAAACAACTTAATTATGAAAGAAATTTGCACATTTACATAAATAGTCTAGAACTATTTTCAATCTACTTAAGTAGTTCACCAGTCACTGAGAACCCCTTGTTGTAACAGAAGTGAGATCCTTTTCATACTCAAATGTTATCTCTAAAAACTCAGAGAGTGTTGGCTTCTTATTAAGATAAAAATAAATGGAGTATCATCAGCCAACAATGCCATCTTAGATATGAGAATTTCAGGAAGATTGTTAATGTAAATTTAAAAAGGGTCAAGGATAGAATCTTGAGGAATCCCTGTTTGTCAGCTATATCAGGGAAGATGTGATAAGTGGAATCAAGAGATGAGGTTAATGAAAATTTTTTAGCAAACAATTCAGCTTTGTCTTTAGGCGAGGTAACAAAATCTAAACCATGCAAGAAAGGTAGAATAACAGATTTGCCCATATTATAGACACTGTTAAAGATTCTCCAGAAGTCTTAGGAGCCTAATTTTTGAAATACAAGATTTTTGGACCTGAAAATAGCAGGGTTTGGCATTAGACAAAACCTTTTTACAATGGTTTCTAGCAATAGTAAACAGACGTCTGTTTTCTGGAGAATTATTTTAGCAATAGATTTTAAAATAATGGTTGCAATTAAAATTAGCAGCAGCACAATTAAAAGAAAACGACGGAGAAGAGTGAGGCTGGACTTGAAAGTGTTAAAAGAAAATTAAAGATTCTATGCCAGACTAAATCCAAGAAGTTACATAAGAAGCTCATTTGTCAGCAGGACAATAAAAGATTTTAACCTAAGGGCCATCACTAAGAAAATCACGGAAAGAGAATGGTTTTTTGTGTTTTATAGTTTTTGATACTTCAGTCATTTTTTAAATTGGTTAAAAAACTTGACTTAAAGCTAAGGTAGTACTCAGTACACTATTTAATAGTCCAAGCAATTGCCTAATTATTATTAATAAACCCAAAGCCATAACAAAAGGTTTCAAATGTGGCCTCGACATTATGCATCCAAAAAACTAACAGGGACACCACCCATGCACATGTTGATAGAATCAGCCTCTCTGAGAGAAAACCTGACTACCAGCAGGCCTCAGAACCATAAAACTGAGATTTAGAGTTGTATCCTTATAGAGACACAAGCAAAACCCATGCAATGAGTCAAAAAGATCCAGCATTCGATATCCTAAACTGGAAATGTATTATGAATACATCAGCCTAATAGATAGAGAGAGGGTGCAAATTTAATTTTTTAATTAAAAAAACAACATACATTTAAATATTATAAAGATAAATATTTTTATACTTGAAAAAAGTCAATAACAAAAATTGATAATATTTTTTATTAATAAACAATTTTTTTTATACATGAAAATTCTTAAACTGAGTTTAAAAAAATGTTTAAAGATTAAACTTTTCAAAATATTTAACCCATTTAGGACCAATTTTTTTTTTTTAATTTTCTATTAGAATCCACATATGTGAACACAGAAAAAAATATATTTTCACAAAAATATATTTTTTTCTGTGTTCACATATGTGTATATAAAACAAAATGAGTCATTGTAGTATTAAATAATTTGACGAGCCAAGCTATTAACCAAAACTGCTTAAATTTATGTTTTGTTTGAAAACTTTATGTTTGACTACCAACATGACCATTATGAACAAACTTTGAAGATGATATTTGAGAAAACATTTTGCCATAATGGCAAGGGTGTTGTTTGTGTGGCTATTAAAAAACAGCTTTACAAAATACAAATATAATTTCAAAATTTTGTGAAATATGCAACAAAAACATATTTCGGCAAGATTTGTTTTCAAACTTGAAAATTTTCACAACCAAAAGTAATATAAAAAATACTATATTGAGTACTCCATTTTTACCGATTTCCTAGCCAAATACACTTCTGATAGCTTTAACTCTTGATTAGCATTTTTTTTTTTAATTTCAAAGGTTTTTAAGTTTGATTTTTTTCTTGAAAGTCACGTGATATCTGTGAGTGATACCTTGTCATTTTGATATTTAAAAAAAATTTTCTAAGATAAACAAACTATACTTATTTATCTATGAACTTTAATTATACATTTGTATAATTAAAGTTCATAGTACAATTTTGTATGGTAAATACAAAATTGGTGCTCTGCAGTTTCTTCCCCCTCCCTTTTTTATTGTTGATTATGATATAGAATTTTATGCTGATTAAGAATTGTCTAAAAATCAACAGAAAGTGCTCTAATATGATGATGAAGTTTAAAAAATTACACAAGAAAAGGTAATATTTACTATTTTTAAAAAATGTCTTACACTTAAGTTTACATTTAGAAATTGATTAATTACCCGTTTTTATTGTTGTCAAAATTAAATTTTATTTAAGTTAAGGGTGATTCTATGTAAAAACATCATGCAACCCAAAGTCACAGATTTTGCTGATTTTTACACCACTCAAAGATTTTAATAAGTTATAAACATTCTAAAAATTTTATCATTTAATTCCAAACGGCTTTTAAGATATGACTACTCAAACTTTGCCTTGAATCAACAAAAATCTGCTTTTTTGAAAAATAGTTTTTGGTCATTGTTTCTATTCTGTGCAAAATGGAAAGCTGAAAATGTGTACACTTACATACTTTTAGGCAAAGAATTAAATATAACAACTTAAAATAAATAAGAATAAATGTAACACCTGTAATTTTGACCTTCATCACAATTTTACTGGACCTTCTATAATTTCAAAAATGCTGATGTAGCTTGATTTTTTTTTTTTGGTTTTATTCTGAATAGCTAAGTTAGAGATATTATAAAAAATTGAATAATGGTCTTTTCTTAAACAGAAAATAAAAACGTGGTCAAATTTACTTAAATTTGTTACTTAAAAAATAGGAATTATGAAAAATCAAAGGAAAAAAAAATTACTCTTAAGTGCTTTATACACAACAATTGATTTTAACAACTTTTGAAAAATTTTTCCACCCACTCTGAACCACCACCTGTTAGTTAAATTTTAAAGTTATGAACAAAGCAAGTGTCTTAATCTCAAATCAAAAAAAAAAATTTCAAATAGTATTATTTAATTTTTGAGACCTGTTTAGGTATTAAAAATTAGAAAATCGAGCCTTCCCGTGAAGCGTATGCGGTTGCACGCCTTGTTTGTTCATGTTCAAACTAATTTTTTTAGACTAACCGACCACAGCAGCAGTTCGCAACTTTTAACTTATAAAACGTTTCAATAATTTGCAGCAAAAAGCTAAATTTATTTACTAAGAAAAACAAAAACAATTCTTATATAAGGCAAACAAAATTGTAACCAAATAACAAGTTTATTTAAATAAACAAGAAAATTTATTAATTAAAAAAAAAAAAAATTTATAAAATTTTTATACAACTTTTTTATTGTTACTTTTTTTAGAGTGATTGTTTTGATATGCAATTTATTTACGATTTTTATCAGTCAAGAAACTAATTTGCTATGCACGCTAGAACTATAAAAATTTTTGTTAATTTTTTTTCTTATGTTTATTCATTTTTATGTCTTTTCGCTTTTAAAAAAGTTTTTTCTATATTTGACATTTTTTCTCAATACTTATATAATAGGAAAATAAGAAAAGAAATTGTTATTTATTTGCAAAAAATGACGGAATAAGTTGAATAAATTAACAGTTTCTTTAATAAATGTCTTTACCGCATTTAAAGCATCTAAGAAATTGTTTCAAAATTTTGTTAAAAAAGTTAAGTAAATTAATAATGCACTAGCCCACAAAATTTTGCAGCATTGTTTTATTTTTATTAATGTAAAAGTTGTTGAAAAAAAAAAAAAAAAATTTTTTTTTACAAATAAATAACAATTAGTTTTCTTGCTTTCCTGCCCATTAATAAAAACAGTAAAGTTTAGCAAAGACATTTGAAAAACAAATTTAAAAACTGTCTGTGTTTCTAGCGCAATTTATAATAAAGTATTTCTTTTATATACTGACTGAAAAAAATTGCAAAAAAATTGTATATCAAAAAATATTTTTATTTTCATTTTATTTTTATCTACTTTTTTTCCTTGACTTGTATCAATTTTGGTAGTGGAAAATAACTAACGCTCTAAAAATAAGAAAACAAAAACAATAAATATTTAGGTATATTATTTTTTTGAAAACAATTTTATTTTTTTTATTAATAAATTTTTCTAGCTTATTTTATTTAGATTTTTTATTTCGTATATTCTAGGTTTATTCTCTAGTTTTTTAAAGTTTTATTTTGCCGCAAATTCTTAAAATGCTTACTATATAAAAACATGGTCAAGTTGTCTAATAAAATTACTTTAAGCATGGACGCACAAGGCATGCAGCTGCACATACTTCTCGGGAAGGCTTGGAAAAAATAAACTTACTTTTAGACAAAAAAAATTCCACATTCACCTGTTTGTTAAGACAACCCGCCCTTCTTTTTTTCTCTCTCCCCCCCCCCCATTTGATACTTTTTTTCTCCCCTCCCCACCCACATTGTGTTAAGCAGATGAGAGTAACTTGAAAGTAATCAAACTGAAACAGTTTTGACAATATCAAATTGTTCCTTTAGTTGTTGCTAACTTGCTTTTTTTGTTTTCTTGGTACCTTAATAAATTAAGGTGCTAAATTTCAAAAATGTATTATAATTTTAACAAATTTTTGAAATTTAGGATCGGTAAATCACCGTGGCACAGTGTCACAAAATGCAAATTAATTTGAACTTTCCATCCCAAAAAAACCTTTTGGGGTATGGTAGTACACAAACAGATGATCACATTAGCATAGATTCTAAAATTAAACTATTACGTCCGAGGAAGAAAATTTGATTATTGTATATATCTCAAAACCACTATTACGTCTATGTGCAAAAAAGTGGTTTAAATATGGTAAATTATTTTTTCCAAAACAAAAATAATATACAACTTCAATATGGAAAATTAATTTTTCCAAGACAATAATAATATACAATTTTAAATCATGTTTTACAAAAAAATAAACCATGTTTTACAACAAAAATTTTTTTAATGCTTTAAATCCATTGATTCAAAATAGAGGATTATTTGTTAAGATTACTGAAAACAAAACATAAAAAAATTAAAATATATAAATAATTCTTAACATTCAGTTGCTTGCTCTGTATATACCCCCAAGAGAGCAATAATGGCGGGCAAAAAATTGATCGACATGAAAAAAATGGCATGTGCTTTTGGGGTGATAGTTGTGTTTGGGAGATCCACACAAAAGCATGTGAACTCAGCAATATTTAAAGCATAGTTATGTTTAAGCAAATTGCCTACCATAAAATAGTTTTTGCTGAATGTTTACCATTTTTGGCCATTCTATTGCTTTTGGCCAGATAAGACTAAGGCTCTTGAATAAGTGGTTCACTACACCAAGAAGCAAGTGAAGCTCTGTGTGGAATAAAATCTATAATCAGAGTATCCATGGCATCATGATAATGGGTTCATGAATAACATTTTGGAGGGCCTTTACTATCGTGGAGTTGGCTCCATCAGTTTTAAAAGCCTTATGATTACTTTGAATGGACCCGAAGGTTCTAAGTTCGCCACTCTGAAGATTTTTTGACTCCACATTATACGAAATGTATACCACACACAATGTTGGCAAGTTTCATATCACATGATAAAACCAAAGTTATTTTATCAAGACCCAATTTATTTAGTACCTGCTTGACATTTTTATAGTTTTCAGGAAGATTTTCTGAGCTTGCAATTATCATGTGCCTATTAACTCCAGAGTCAGAGAAAAAAACTTCTTAGATGGAGGAGACTCATTCTGTGTCTCTAAGTTGAGAATTTTAAGAAAGACTTTTAAGAAACCACCACCTCTATCCAATCCAACTTTAATTAAAACTAATCCTGTGCTACTAATCTCCATTATAATTTTACTCAATACCCTTAAGTCTTTGCAATATACTATAAGCCTTTTTGACTTGGAGTGTTATTTTTGTTGTATTACAAATGTCTGAAGTAACAAATTTTTTTTCCTTAATTCTCTGTGAAGACACTTGATTTAGGGTTGATACAAGCTTGTTTACACTCTGGTTTGATAACCCAGTCTGGCTTTGAACAACAAGGAAATTTTGAGCTGTTAAGACACGCGCAGCTGGAAATAATTCTTTACGTTTGGAGGGTCCTAAAAATTTTTTTTTGTTGTATTAAGCTTTTGTATTTATTTTTTTTTTGTGGTAAAATCTTGGATACACACTTCTTATAGCTTTCGTTAACTCTTAAAATTTTCATAAATTTTTAAACTTTAAAATTTTTAACCCAAAAAATATGTTACCTGGAACCACAGGAAGAGGTTTTCCTTTTCCTCGATTCAGTCTTTCAGTACCATGAGGTAAAGTAGTCTTGTTTGAAATCACCAAAGTAGCTACTTTTTCAGCTGTAACATTGTCTTTTGTGGCAACATTCAACAAATTTTGTCTAAGCATTTGTTTGGTGCAACTATAAGAAAGACCTCTATCAATGATAGAAAAGCATGTTAAACATCGTTTCTTAACTGCTGATTGTTTTTCTTGATGAACTATTTGGGCAGTGCTAACTGGTAGAGGATTATTGAGTTTTGTCTTTCCAATTCAACAAATCAAGCAGCCACATGTTGACTTTATAGTTGGACAAATCTTTACTGTTCAATAGTCAAATAAGAGGTGTAGAGAAGCAACTTCACTTGAATCTCTTCTTCAAGAATTATGTGGCACTTTTCACATATCCCAGTCAACACTTGAGGGTTGTTTAAATCAATATGATTTGCTAAAACTTTTTGATGAACGCTCAAACAAAAAATCACTCATCACTCTATTGGCTTTTTGTAAGCACAAAAAAATACAGATTTCTTGCATTCATCATGATTCTTTGCTTTGTTTGGCATTTTGAGAGAATAAAGTCTCTTAAGTCAAGTTAACTTTTAAAGATTAAACCTGATTTTGTTACTATTTTGAGTTTTACTGTGATTTATTTTAATAAAAACTAAATTCAAAACAAAACTATTTAAAACAAATATAAAATTAAAATACAGTCTTTAAAAACAAATTTTAAAATCCAAATTAAAAAAAATTAAACTTATTAATTATAAAAATTAAATATTAATTTTGATTTAAAATTGAAAATCAATTTTTCTTATTTATTACTTTATTTAATTTGACATCTTATAGTTTATAAAATTGAGCTTAAAAGGTAATTTATAGACTGCCATAATATTCTAATGATTATTACATTCTGTAATGATTATTACAGAATGTATTAATTATTAGAATATCATGACAAATACTAACTTTGTTTTTTTACCTACAAATATTTTAAAGAAAATAGTTCTCACAGCAATATGCAAGGGACTTCCAGTTAGGCAACACACTGCAAAAGTGGTAAGTGTTATTAGTAATTCAGGAGATGATGCTCCTAATTTTGTTTTTTAATTAGATTTGGAGTTGCGGAGGAAGTTGTAAATAAAGGAAGAGAAATGATTATAAAATGGTCACATAATCAAACAAATTTAAACCTAATAAACTTCTTAAACTCTTTCAATCAATAAACAAATCATGTTATTTACATGTAACAAATAAGGGGAAGTAGGAAAGGAAGGGGGAGGGAGAGGATGGGGGTATTAATAAACAGGATGGTGGGAATTTTTATTTCTATAAGTGAGTTTATCTTTTTAGATTCTATGACCTGAACATTCTCACAAATTAGAAATTAGTAAATAAAAATTATTTTTATTTTTAGTTTTGAGATACAGTTTCTTTGTTCATTACAAGTAAAATCAGGAATGCAGATTTCCAAAAGGACTCTACCTTTATATCTCTATTTTTCTTGGTCTTTAATGCCCAGAAGCTGGTGTTATGTCTATTTTTATATATTTTATGTTGTTTGATTGGATTATTTGCCTAAAACTATGTAAGTGCAGTGCTCAATTTAACGGTCGGACATCGCTGCCCCCAGACACTTTTTGAGATTTGATTTATGGTGAAAATCAACCATTGTTAATTTTTAATGAAAGAATCAAAAATGGTTTGTTTACCTCCTCTAGCAAGTCTCATAAATGGTCTAAGGGGCAGCAACATCCGACTGTTAAATTGAACCCTGTAAGTGTACACATTTTCAGCTTTTCTTTGCACACAGAACAAAAACAATGACCAAAACCACTTTTCAAAATGGCAGATTTTTGTTGATTCAAGGCAAATGCTGAATAGTCATATCTTTGAAACTATTTGAAATTAGATTAAAAATTTTCTGGGAATGTTCATAACTTATTAAAATCTTACACACACACACACACACACACACACACACACACACACACACACACACACACACACACATACACATATATGTATATAAAATTAATTTAAAAAACATTAATTTAAGATATTGCTTTTTAGATGAATATGCATCGACTGACAAACAGGGATCGAAGCAATTAAACATGCATAGTTTGGGATAGGGTTAGGGCCAGAGATCAATCAGAAATTGATGCGCTATGCATTTTTAAACAGTTTTAAATTGTCAATAAAAACCAGGCTTTTTTAACCAAGTATGAAAAAATGATGAATATTAGCGTTTTTTAGTGAAATTTTTTAAACTTCAACATTAAATTAGAGCACATTCTGCTGATTTTCAGACCTGTATTTTTAAACAATTCTTAATCAGCATAAAATTCTCTATCATAATCAACAATAAAAAAAAGGAGGGCGGAGGAACTGCAGTAGCACTAAATGATTTTCGTACAAACACTTCTACTACCCCTAGATGTAAGTGTCATACATAATCTCAAAATAGCGTCATTATTAAAATCTAGACTGTGCTACAAAAATATCTTCAGAGTCTTTATTTTTTTCTTTATTGATTTAGGATGGTAAATATGAGTTCAATTTTTTCAATTCAATTTTAAGTCAAAATATATCCCTTTAATTTTCGAAGCTATTTTTTAAGACAAATTATAAATAGCGCAAAATTATCAGCTATAATCTGCAATAAAATCAAAGCAAGTAAAAACTGTATTAGCGCCAGGGAAGTTTTTTTTTTTTTGCCCTTTAATTTAACATTACTAAACTACTATAGCAACAATAATCATAAACAGCTCAAATAATAAAAAAAGTATAATAAAAAAAATATCTCACAACAAAAGCGTAGCCATTTTTCATCATTATATCACGAATCTTTCCATAGTTGTCAAAAAACTTTTTCAAGTCTCTTTCTATAACACGATTATTTAATCTGCCAACATATAGACGAGGCATTACTTGTAAAAAATATTTAAACTTGTAAAATTTCGATTAGTATAAAAATTATTATGAAGAGAAGTTCACTAAACTCTTTTTTTTAGTAAGTGGCCCACAATTCATCATGCTACTTATTTGTATTTTACCGAACTTAAGAGGGTATTAATATACAATTTCCTGATCATAGATTTCTAGTTGTTTGATTGGTTGTTTTCTTTACGATTGCATATTTATGATATGACAACATATCTTAAGTCCGGTTCGCATTAAATATCCAAAAGCCGATGGAAATTTATCGAAATAATGTTTTTTATGTTTTAAGATAATTTAATTAGTTATTTAAACTATTGATAGTCCAAATAAGAATGGTGTTATTTATAACTTTATTTAAATTAAACTTTAATGAGTCCTTGAATTATGAAATCATAAATAGTCCGATTCGATTATTTATTGTATAATTAATCCAATCTATTATTATAGTATTAGCTTGGATAATTATTAATAATAATCTAAGCTATTAATAATAACAAGCTATTATATATAAATAAAATATAAATATTATATATAAATCCAAGCTGTTAATAATAACAAGTTAATATTATATTATTAGCTTGTTTATAATATAAACAAGCTAATACTATAAGCTTGTTTACATTATAAACAAGCTAATAATATAATATTAGCTTGTTAATATTAACTGCTTTGATTTATATATAAAACTATTAGTAATAGTAATATTAATCCAAGCTAATCCTATAATTTTAACTTTAAATATATTTGTATATATTGTAAACAAATATATGGTATTAAGTTAATATTAAATTTTAGCTTGGTCATTTTACCTGTATATATAATATATACATGTAATGTGACCAAACTAATATTAATTATATTTACAAATTAAGCCAATATTATATATATATATATATATATATATATATATATATATATATATATATATATATATTTTTTTTTTTTTTTTTTTTTTTTTTTTAACATCTTCGCTTCCAACAAGGCTGCAAGCAACCACTATAAGAGTTGGAAGTTACTGGAAGAGAAAAGACTAAATCTGTAGAGCAAGATAACGATTGACTGATGACTTAAAAAATTGCAAATTATATGAATCAGGAAAGCAAGACGAAGGAAGCGAATTCCAAAGAACTGATGTTCGAGGAAAAAAACTAGAAGAATAAGAGTTTTTGAAGCACTTAGGAACAGTCACAGAAAAAGGATGAGACTTAATTGAATGGCGAGTAACACGAGAATGAATTTTAGTAGATGGCACAAGGGACGCTAGCTCTTTAGAGCAGTGCCCATTATAGTATTTGTAGAAAAGAGAAAGAGAAGCAACATTACGACGATGTGACAAAGGTTGGAGATTGGCTGCCAGAGCAGGTCCAACTATGTTTACAATTCGTTTTTGCACCTTGTCTAAAAGAGAAAGAGCATCATTAGAAGATCCGCCCCAGATGTGGCAACAGTATTCCATACAGGGACAGATTTGAGATTTATAGAGATAGAGAATAGAATCTGGAGTAAGAAAGTGTCGAGCTCGATAAAGAGATGCAACCTTAGCAGATGCTAATTTTGCAATGGATTTGATATACGGTTTAAAAGAAAGATCAGAAGTAAGAGTTAATCCTAGAAGATGAATGGTAGATGACTCATCTAGTACATTACCATTCATAAATATAGGAAGATCTAAATTATTACGATAACGATTGGCCGAATAAAATTGAGTTTTATCTGAATTAAAGTTCACCAGCCACTGTGAGCCCCATGCTGTAGCAGAAGTGAGATCCTTTTCAAGCTCAGATACCCCCTCCAAGCAATCAGAGAGTGTAGGCTTCTTATCATGACAAGAGTAAATGGTAGTGTCGTCAGCGAATAATGCCACCTTAGATGTGAGAATATCTGGAAGATCGTTAATGTAAATTAAAAAGAGTATAGGGCAAAGGATTGAACCTTGAGGAACCCCTGAAGTTACAGGATGTGAAGAAGAGTGTTGTCCATCGAGGACAACTTTTATACTACGATTGGAAAGAAAGGACTCAATAATCTTATATATATATATGTATATGTATATGTATATATATATATATATATATATATATATATATATATATATATATATATATATATATATATATATATATATATATATATATATATATATACAGTGACTATTTCTACCAATATATTAAAATGGTCACAATCACTATTTATATATAAACACACACACATATATATGTGTGTGTGTATATATTTATAATTAGTTACTGTTTATAAACTTTTTTTGTAAACTGACATGTTATACTTCTTATGTTAAATAAAATTATCTTAAATAAAGTCCATTTGTATTAGCGTTATTTAATGTGAAATTAAACCAATTTATTAAATATTTATTAATTATATTAAAATAAAAACTTTTTAACCTAATTTTTAATAACTTAATTGATTGAAATCAATTAATCTTTAATAAATAATTTCATAAAATGGTTAATATAATATGATTTAATATATATATATATATATATATATATATATATACATATAATATATATATATATATATATATATATATATATATATATATATATATATATATATATATATATATATACACAGAGGGTTACAAAAGTGTTCGTACAGTGAATCCTTCAATAAATGTAGTTATTTTTCATACATTTTTTCAAGTTATTTTGGTGAAATTATGTACAAAATTTATTTTATAGATCAAAATTAATGCAACATGAAAAGAAAAATAATATATTTTCAGAAAATCCCTTTAAAAAACCTAGATACAAGAAAAAGGTCTTGTTTAAAATGTTACTAAAGTCTTCGTACAATATAAAAATCTTTCAGAAAAACCAAAAAAGTGGCAAGAAAGGTATCAGAAAATCAAATTTCAATAACAAGTTGCTTTTCCTTTGCTTTTTATAACAGCTCTCAATCGATCTGGCATACAATGAACCAGTTTTTTTGTGATTTCTTGACTTGAACAATTCCAAGCACTCTCTAAAGCAACTTTCATCTG